GGAAATTTCAAAGAAGTCAAGCAAAATAAGGTGTATATGTCATCCTGAACTAAGGAAAAGGGGGTAGGAGTCTGGGACTTTAAAGGGAAGGAATGCAATCCTTAGGAAGAATGAAAAAGAGTAAATATTTGGTAAACAAATGTTGGCTGGGCCACTCAGAAACAATGGGACACAGAGAGGACTTTAATCAAACAAGTATTGTTAGGCTCTTCCCTATATCCCATCCCTAGTTCATGGTATACTGTAGTTATCTATGGTGATAGCCCTCTTCCTGGAGCAGGGCTTCTATCTAAATTTTTTAGGCAATTGTCGAGGTTACAGGTAGAGTTTTTCTTGAATTTGCTGGATTTTGATTACTTTTAACTCAAAATAGTCTTCATGCCAAAGTGGCCCATCTTGGGGCAGCCTGCCCTTGACACCTAGCACTTAGGATGGTCCCTGTAGTACCTTTTAAAAAAATAAGCTAAGCTCTATGCCATTGCTCAAGATCTTTTTGACTTGGGAATACATTTGAAAATTATGTGAGTAGGCTCATGAGACTGCATCATCCCATCATGGGCTGTATCCAGCCCCTAATTAGCCTAGATTGTCCCCATCTGCTTCCTAAGCCACTGAATGTGTCATTCATTGATCCATTCACCAGATGTTACTAGAGGGAATCTTAGGAATTAACATTAATAGAAATATGAAACCTGGACCTGCTCTCAGTGATCTGAAACTGTAGTCCGGCAGATGAGGTCAAACTACAAGAAAAAGGCATAGAACAGAGAAAACCTACCAGAAAGCCTTCTCTGTGAATGGTGTTCCACCTTACTTGCCACTCCATGGGTGCCCATGGCACAGCTGCTTGGCTAGATCACTGCAGTGGTGGTTGTGCTGCAGAGAGAAAAATGGTCTAGGCTTCAGAAGATAAGAGTCAATTCCTGATTGATTTTGCCATTTACTAATTCTGTGACCTGGGGAAAGTTATTTTCCCATGGGAAGTCTCCATCTTCCTATCATTAAAAGAGGAGTGGTCATCTGCTAGGCTATCTCATCTGGTTGTAACGAAGTTCAAAGGAACCTCATTTATCAGTGTATTTTTTTGTATTCCTGCAATAGAGTGAAGCTTCTGTGAAAGCAAGACTGTCTTGTTCATCAGCATGTCCCCAAATATCTTGAACAAGGCTTATCACATGTAGTAGGTACTCATAAATATTAGATGCACAAAAGAATATTGTATGTTATAGCACTGTGTTATTTTTCTTAATAGTTTATTGTCAAGTTGGTTTCCATATAACACCCAGTGCTCATCCCCACAAGTGCCCTCCTCCATGCCCATCACCCCCCTTCCCCCCACACCCATCAGTCCTCAGTTTGTTCTCAGCATTCAAGAGTCTCTCATGGTTTGCCTCTCTCCCTCTCCCCCACTATTTCCTCCCTTATTCTCCCCCATGGTCCTCCATTATAGCATTCTTAAAATGTACACTAAAGGGATTCCAAGAGCAGTATAGATAGGCTGGATGGGTGGACTCTCACTTTGGTTTTCAGGCCTGCATGTGATTTTGTCTGAAAGGATATGTGTGTTTCTGGAACTGTGCAGACAGCAAGTCTTTCTACTATTTAAGCTCTTCTGAAACATGGGAGATACTGTAAGCACATATTTTAAATAGCAAGTGCTGATTTTGGACTGCCTTTTCCAACTATTGCTCATTGTAGGGGAGCAGAATTTATCATTCCAAAATATGTCTCTAGCATAAGGATTATTTTAGGCTGAATATTTTTAAGAAAGTGCAAACACAGGAGACGTTCAGAAAACTGAGTAGAAGTTACCCTTTTGTAAGAGATATTTACATTTATTTGTAAGGGAAATCTCTATTTGTAAGGATGTCTCCCTCCTTGTACCAGAACAAAGAGTCTAAATCACTAGAAACTCCTCAATGGAGAAGACAATGATTTAGATCTGCACAAGAGTCTTACCCTTATTACTGTGCTTTTCCTGCACACCTCCCATAACTGACTCCCCCCAGTCCCAGCATCTTCTTTTGTCTTTAGCTGGGGATGGTATTTAAGGTGATGGCTTCAGCCATCTTGGGGAGTCACTCAGTTTACCCAGGTCTCCTATGTATGTACACAAGAGATATCCATGTTTGATTTTTCTCTTGTTAAAGAGAATCTTGTTCAGGAATCTTGAAGGATACCAAGCTACTTGTATGTAGATAAAACTTTCTGAAGACAATACCTCTGCTTAACTTAACATTCTGTTCAAGAAAGTATGAAATGGAGGAAATTACATAGAAAAAAGGCTAATTTAAGCAAAACAGTGCTCTGTTTACACACAAACTAATTGCAATTATGCTAGGAAAAGAGGCCAAGACATCCATATAGCTCTGGCTATCAGTCTGGCATCTACATTGTTGATAGCCTTACCTCATCAGTCAGTCAACAGATATTTACCCAGGATCTGCAGTGTGTAATGTGTGAACAATCCAGAGTCCTTTGACTTACTGTGTTTTGAGGAACTTAGTGTGTTTTGAGTAAAGCTGGATTTAAAAATTCTCACTGTATAAAATTTATAACACCTAAGTAATTATAACATTTAAGGGTACATTTTTTAAAAGAAACCCATAATCCCACCACCATGGCACAATTGCTATTTAATTTTGTTTATTCCCACTTAGTCTTAGTCTGCCATCATATGTATTTTTCACTTAGTGATAATGATACTCCACAGCTTTGGCTTTCATTTGTCACCCAGTTTCATCTTTCTCTAACTGTAATTATTTCAATAACTGTATAGTATTCCATGGAATTGAAAAAACTTCTGCTTCTAATCAAGATATAGTGCCTGGGACCAGATTTAACTTTCCTGCCCCAAATGACAAAATGTATGAAATAATAGTTTTCGTGATAATGTCTATCAGGCAACAAAGGACAGGGACTTTTTTTTGGTTTGTTTGTTTGTTTACAAATAGTTTATTGTCAAGTTGGTTTCCATACAACACCCAGTGCTCATCCCCACAAGTGCCCTCCTCCATGCCCATCTCCCCTCTCTCCCCACACCCCCATCAGTCCTCAGTTTGTTCTCAGCATTCAAGAGTCTCTCATGGTTTGCCTCTCTCCCTTTCCCCCACTATTTCCCCCATCTTCTCCCCCACGGTCCTCCGTTAAGTTCCTCCTAATCCTCCTATATGTGCAAACATATGGTATCTGTCCCTCTGTGCCTGACTTATTTCACTCAGCATAACACCCTCAAGGTCCATCCATGTTGCTACACATGGCCAGATTTCATTCTTTCTCATTGCCATGTAGTATTCCATTGTATAGACAAACCATAGCATCTTGATCCATTCGTCTGTTGATGGACACTTAGGCTCTTTCCATGTTTTGGCTATTGTTGAGAGTGCTGCTATGAACATTGGGGTACATGTGCTCCTATGCATCAGCACTCCTATATCCCTTGGGTAAATTCCTCGCAGTGCTATTGCTGGGTCATAGGGGAGTTCTATTGCAGGGACTCTTAAGAGATGGGAAACAATCAAATGAGCCCTACAGTTGCCACAGCTTCCTGCAGGTGACAAATCTGCTCCCCTTCACTAGTATCTTTTTGCTTTTAAAATAATTTTTTGTTTTGTTTTTTCCAGGCCAGTTATCATTGCTGCACATGATTCTGTCCTTTTAAGTTTATTTAAGCTTAGTAATTTATGCTAATAGGTTAAATAAAACATATGAACATACAAAAATGGACATATTAATCAACACCCAAGTATGCACATTTCTATTGAAAGTCATCCAGGAAGCAGAGAGCTAGTGATTAAATTGATATATGACTGTGATAAAAAGCAGAAAGAAGAGGACAGGGAAAGAAAGGTCATATCCCATCTCAGTGACTACCACCCCATCAGCATATCTTTCTAAATAATGAAAAGATTGTCACATCCCCAGCAACATATTGCTTATTTTAAGGAGTACAAAACACAGTGCACTTGAACAGGGAGGTTGTGCAATTTCCTGGAGTTCAAATGCTGGCATTTGATCTGGGTCAGTGTGTCCCAACAAGCAGGTTCCTTGTAGAAAAATTGGCATAGATCTCTGTCTTAATCCAGTCCAAAAACAACCACCACCACCACCACCAAATAACAAAACAAGAAACCCAAACAATAAAATTTTCAGCAGAGATGTAAAATATTCCACTAAACTAGGCACTTACATTTCATATGAGCAATGAGCTGCAGACTGTTCAAAAAGGACTCAGTTATTAAGGAAGTGGAAGTGGATCACTAAATTTGGAATATAATGTATGCAGTTTAAAGCAGGAAATGGCTTAAAAGAGCGCTGGGTTTAGAGTTATTGGATTCTATTTCTCATTCTGCTACTGACTTGCTGTATGACCTTCTCCTCTTTGACACTATCAAATAGAAAGGTTGCACTAGAAGCTTGCCAGGGCCATTTCCATCTCTGTGCTACTGGCACACAGAGTATAGATGTTTTTACTAATAATACTTCCAACTTTAATCTGCACTTAAGCCTACTCCATGGCTTAAATGCAGATTAGAAGTAGTCGTTAAGCAGTCTGCAACTGACCTTTCTTTACACTCAGTGCAGGCTGCATGTGCAGGACCTCTGGAGAAATGGCCCTGTTGGTGGTGGTACCCTTCTCCTACAGCCACATCAGCATCCTACCAACACCTCTGAAAGCTATGTATATATTTTTTGCCATGGCCTTTGATTGGCACACATTTTTCTTATGTTTGTGCTTTCAGCACATCTATACTGTGTTTATTTTCTCAGTTTTGACTATGTATAGCATGTAGCACCCATAATCTCTGCTTGTTATTACCTTCCAGCATTATTTTTTAAGGACTTCTTTAATGATGTTTTTGTTTAGGTATTCAATCGACATAAGCAATGTTGGAAATTGTGATGTGAAATGTATCCAGGTTTGTGTTCTTCCTGTGTTTCCTGTTGTTTATATATCTCTGTCTCCAAATTGAAATGTCTTCTCTTTTGGAAATTCCCAGGATCAAGTTGATCTTGTAACAGTCGAACGTTATGGATCACCAGAATCTGTTCATGAAAGTGAAATAGAGTCTGCTACATGTTATGACTCCAGCACATTTTCTGTGGAAAGCATACCTGAATCACCAGGTAGGTACATTTGGACATTTGGATAGGGATTATCAGAATAAAAACAGTGGCCCACAAGGTAGTTATGGCTTTTCAAAGGAAGAAAGTGTTCTATTTATAATGGTGTGAAACCACAAGAGCGAACTTCCTTCATCTTCTGTAAGTTTTTTTTTTTTTTTTTTTTTTTTTACAAATAGTTTATTGTCAAATTAGTTTCTACATAACACTCAGTGCTCATCCCCAAAGTGCCCTCCTTCATGCCCATCCCCCCCTCCCCCCCACATCCATCAGTCCTCAGTTTTTGTCAGCATTCAAGAGTCTCTCATGGTTTGCCTCTCTCCCTTTCCCCCACCATTTCCGCCCTTCTTCTCCCCCTTGGTCCTCCGTCAAGTTCCTCCTAATCCTCCTATACGTGCAAACATATGGTATTTGTCCTTCTCTGCCTGACTTATTTCGCTCAGCATAACACCCTCAAGGTCCATCCATGTTGCTACACATGGCCAGATTTCATTGTTTCTCATTGCCATGTAGTATTCCATGGTATAGATAAAGATGATGATTTGAGAGCAGTGAAAGTGAATATCTCATCCATGGTTTGAGTGCTTGGGAATGGTATTATTCTGTCCCATTAAAATTTAATCTTCTAAAGATTGGTGCTAGATCTCAGTCCTTGGAGGAGTAGCATCTTACCTCTTTAATCTTAGTGAAGACTGTGCCATAGAGATTGCAGTTCAAAGAAACTTCTTGTTTTAACAAACTGTACTATAAGAAGAATTTTTAGTAAAGGCCAAAAAAGATAGTCTCTCAAAAACAGTAATATTTATTATGGAAGTTTTGGTATTAAAGAAATTTTATAAATATAATTGTATAAAAGTACAAAACTTGAAACAGTGCTGGAAGCATAAAACAGGTCATGCCCTCTCATTTGCTGACCTTAGCATAGAGTATTTGTATTTGGGAATCTTTTTTCTTTTTAAATATAGTTTATTGTCCAGTTGGTTTACATATAACACCTTCACATATAGAACTAATACATCTATTTTTAAAATAGTCTAATTAACAACGTTGACATTATTGCTACCAATCTCAAACTTAGTTTAAAAAGTCCTTCAAAATTGATTTAGGTAGGGGGAAGGCCATGAACCCATGACTGTGATTCCTAAAACATGTAAGAGCAAATTTAGTTTTAAATTTGCACACACTCTTTGGGATGAGTTTGGCAAAGGCAAGGAGTCCTGTATCTGCTCTCACATTACCAAATAGAACAGTTCTGTCATCCCTGAATTCCTTTGTGTTGTCTCTTTGAACTCCGACTCTGTCCTCCTCTTCTGGCAACCATTGATCTGTATTCCATCTCTGCTTTCCTTTTTCCTGAATGTCCTGTAGATGGAATCATATAGAGTCTCACCCTTTTGGTCCGGCTTTGTTAACGAAATGCATATAAGGTTCATCCACGTTTCATGAATCAATGGTTCATTCCTTTTTCCTTGCTGCATCTTAGTAGTAGTAGTAGTAGTACTGCATCTTATGCATGCACCACAGTTATTTGTTTAAAAATCCATTAATCTGCAGAAGGATATCTGGGTTATTTCCATGTTTTCAGTGATTATAAATAAAACTACTATTAATATTTGCATAGAGGTGGGTTTTTGTGTGTGTGGGAATAAAAATGTTTAATTGACTTGGTTAAATTCCTGGGAGTGGGACAGCTGGGTCTTGTGGAAAGTTTGTGTGAAAGAAACTGCCAAACTATATTCCAAAATGACTGCCATTTTGCAATGTTCAAATAATATTCTCCACTTTGCTTTTTGGGCTGTTGGAGGAGAATCATTTCTCAACACCTCCACTGGTACTTCAAGCATTCCTAAGATCCCCACATTCTGGAGAACCTATCTTTTTAGAAGTTATTTTTTATTACGTTTCATTTGGTATTTACGTTTCATTTAGTTGGAAGGTACCAATTTTCAGAGGCACAGCCCCCCCAAATTTTATAATGAAAAGACACTCAGCATGAGTAGTTTGGGTACCTACCCACTTATGCTTGGGTGGGTGGAGTAAAAGTCAGACACTCCTTCCTTTTTCTTTATTTTCAAATACGAACAGATTTTAAAGTAATGCTCTGACTTACTCCTGGTACCTGGCACATCTAATCCTTAACATAGGATAAAACTGGACACTCCTGTTTTTATGACTTTAAAAGGGAAATCAAGAGAAATATGTAAATCTTTGATAATGTTGATATTTCTGCTTTCCTGGTCATGAATGACACTGTGCTTTCTTCTTCAGCTACATCATCTTTGCAGAGCTTTGAATTTGAACCTGAGGTGGAACAGGTGGATGATATGTATGAGGTTCAACAGGTGGATGAGGTGGAAGAGATGAGCCAGATGGATGAGATGGAAGAAGTGGAACAAGCAGACAAGGAAGAAGAGGTGGAGCGAGTGGAGGTGGAGGAGGAGGAAGAGTTGGAGCAGGTGGAGGAAGTGGAGGAAGAGTATCAGGAGGACCAGGAGGAGCAGGAGGAACAGGAGGACCAGCTGAACCAGGTGAATCAAGAGGACCAGCTAGACCACGTGGAGCAAGAGGACCATCTTGACCAGGTGGAGGAGGAGTCCCTCTCATCCTCCAGTGTGGCTGCTAGCATCAATGATGAGGTACCTCTGGGAGTCTTGCTCCATATATTTGTCTGGACCACTAACCTTGCAAAGCCCTGAATCTCCACTCTGTGCTCAGGTTCATTTTGCAGAAAGCATCTTATTTTTTTCTTAACTGTATCACCATTTCTGTCATACTGAATTTTCCAATTCTGCTGAGAATCCGGTGGACTTTAGCAAACAGGGAGGTTGGAGATTCTCTAAGTAAGACCAAATCTCTGTTCTTTTCTTAGTGTCAAATATGCAAAGACACTTTGTGCTTGAGAGAAAGTTTGGGCCAAATAGGAAGCTTATCCACTAAGAAAAGACAGTATTTTTAAGCACTGTTCCTTATCACCTGTGAGGAGATGCTAACCATCTCCAAGAAAGATGACATTAGAGCAGCACCTCTCCACCACAAACTAGGCTTCTCCAATGGAATTTTTATTAGGTTAGAAGCATGCCTTTCAGCATGTTAGGTGTATCCAACCTTCAAATGTCAACACTGATGTATGGTCCGAGGCCAAATCAATACAGCTGGATTAACTACTCTGTTGCTCTTCTATCCTCAAATTTGTGTACATAATCACAGATTTGGACAATCATCTTTTATAATAGACAGGATTATTAAAATCAGGATTGGCAGGCAAGATAATGAGTTTATGGTTTGTTACATGGAATTGTGTGCATTAATTATGAAGCCTAAGATGAGTCACTCCTTCTTCTAATGAGAAGAACTGAGGGATAGAAGACAGTGTGCAATGACCTTGGCACATCCCTGCATATCAGTTTCTCAATCTTGAAATGGTCTGCTTGTCTTGTGGGGATTTTTGAACTGATAGGAAAGATTTTTGAACAATTTAAAAGAAAATTTCTGTAGAAATCCATTTTGTCCTTATTTATGTCTTTATTATGCCAAAAAGCTATGGTTCACCTTTCACTGTTGACAAGTTTCTCTTCTGCTTTCAATGAATTTATAACTAAATTTTTTTCAATATAACTTTTTAAAAAAATAGTCAAAATAACCAGCAATGAGTGTGCATAGTGCAGCTCTGCATGTGGTAGCATATTTGGCTTATTTTGGGGTGCCATGGATTGCCAGACAGGGATGTATCCAGAAGATTAAGACCAGGATGGAGGAAGGCTGAAAAATTTCATATTGTCAGTAGTGGAAAGTAGTCACAGTGGAAAGCATTGGAGAAGGGAGACTGGGAAGGGACAGGACAGCCTGATCCAAGTAGCTGCATAGCCATCATGTTCCTGAAGTGGAAGACGAGTCTCCAGTGGATCAAACTAGGATGGAGAGCCAGCAGCTCAGGACGGGCAGCTTTCCACTCCTCTCAAGAAAGCCTTTCTCGGGGCGCCTGGGTGGCTTAGTCGGTTAAGCGTCCGACTTTCGCTTAGGTCATGATCTCGCGGTTCACGGGTTCGAGCCCCGCATCGGGCTCTGTGCTGACTGTCAGTTCAGAGCCTGGAGCCTATTTCAGAGTCTGTATCTCCCTCTCTCTCTGACCCTCCCCTGCTCGCGCTGTCTCTCTCTCTCTCTCTCCTAGAAATTAAAAAAAAAAAAAAAAAGAAAGCTTTCTCATGCCCATCGTCCCTCTTCCCCTCTCCCCCACCCCCATCAGTCCTCAGTTTGTTCTCAGCTTTCAAGAGTCTCTCATGGGCATGGAGGAGGGCACTTGTGGGGATGAGCACTGGGTGTTATATGGAAACCAACTTGACAATAAACTATTAAAAAAAAGAAAGAAAGCCTTTTTCAGATGAGTTAGGTTACCTCCCCAGGTGGTTAGTTTCCTCCCCTTCAACAGAAAGGTTTGAGACAGGCTTGATAGCTCATCTACCAGAGACAGCAGGGGAAAGATTCTTGCTTGCAGAATGGGAGTGTGGATGTGATAACCTGTGAGGTTTGTCGCTCCAGTCCTGAGTTTAGAATTTTTATTTTATTTCACTTTATTTTATTTTATTTTATTTTATTTTATTTTATTTTATTTTGTTTATCAAATGCCTGCTTTCTTATATGAAGATCTATATACTATACAACAAAAGAAGGACAATTAGACAATTTTTGATGGCTTAAAAATACATATATAATTTATTATTCCAAGTGAGAAAAACAACTTGAATGTTTTTTCCTCTCTCTCTTTAATAATTCAGCTGTATTCTTCCATTAGCCATAAAGGGGTTGAAGGCCACAGTATGATAAAATGGACTTTTGTTTTTGTTTTCTAGTAGTCACATGTATATGTACCTTCTCCTCATAATTAATATTGAGACTGTGGCTCTCTTATTTATACACACAATATCCAGCCCAGATCAGCAAACAATACCTTTTACAGATAGCTTTTTTTTCCCCAAGAACCCCACCTCTTTTCTGCCCCCTTAGCTAGCTAGTTGAGAAGCCATGTCCACTTTATTAAATTCTCTCAAATATGTCCCTTCATTTCTATGTGTCTTGCCTCTGGTCTTTTCAGGCACCTGTTATCTCTACTATAACTGAATTTGACTAAATGATTACCATGATCCCTTTCTGATCTAGAATTCCTGGATTTTCTAACCATTTCTTCAGACTTTCTAGTAATGAATGAAATTGGGAGTGGAGTGACATTGTTCACATTCTCAGTCTTTGAAAACTTGGAAATAAAGCAGTATTTTAGGATTTGGAGAACCTTGTGTCCCTATCTGTGAACCACAAGCAATTCCTCCCCACAGCTATTACAACAACCACCATCAATTGCACTGTACATCAACAAACGCGAGCTGGAGCTGATGAAGACGTTTAGGGAGCAGCTGGAAGACAAGACTCGGATGCTGCAGGATGGCATCAAAAACCTGCAAGACACACTTGAAATGATGACAGAGCAGTTTCGGAGAATGCAGGATTCCAGCTTTCAGGTCAGAGGCCAGTTTCATGTAAGTAAGAGGCCAAAAGGAGAAGAGAAAGGGACCTTGATAGTTTTAAGGAGTTTGAAGGGCCTGCTAGTAGTGACAGCAGCTGCTCCAGTATGGCATGGGACATTTGGAGTGGTACTCAGCAGTGACATCTGGATTTTCTCTTTGTCTCTTGGCTGTAGTGGCTGAGACGGGCCCAGCTGGGCTCTAGCAGTGGCAGACAAGGCTCATACACAACCATGGCTTCTGTGGGCCTGTCTGAAGGCACTCTCACTCCATGCTCTGAGGAAAGGTGTGACCCCTGAATAAGACCTTTGTGATACTGTGTCCTTACAGATTCAGCCAACCATGTCATACCACATTGACTGTCCTGAGCCTCAGTCTTTGGAGCCAATGCCCAAGAAACCACGCACTGACAAAATGGAAGGACTCCTTCCAGATTTCAAGGAGACCAGCCTTTCCTGTGGTTCATGTTTATACCACTATTTCAAATTCCCTGAGGAGCTTGAGGAGCCTTGCAATGTCTCCAACCAGGTAGGAAAAGGCTGTTTTAACTATATAGCTAAAAAGAGATTTGATTTTCATGAAAATTGGGGCTCACCTGGTTCTCCTGAGGGTGTAGTGGCTACTCAGTTGACTGCAATTCATTTACCTGAGATAAAAATAATCTTGACTAACTAGACCTAGACACACATGTACATATATTCTGAATTGCAGCTTATTTAGCCAACAGTATGACTGCAACTAGTGCCCAAACAAGATAGTCACCCAGACCAAGCCCAGAGATGCAGAGCCACTGTCATCTTCTGCTTCAGGAGAATGGGGTGGGGGCGTTCGATTACTGGGAGGCCCTTGCAGACACTGAGGCACTTTTATCTCTTTCTTTTTGATGCAACACATGCAGGGGCAGGAACAATACCTGCAGCAGCAGTTGCAAGAGATACAGGAACAGCACATGCAGCAGCAGATACTTCAGGAGCAGTCACAGCAGCATAATGCCACTGTGGGAAACCAGACACTGAAAACAAGCCTGCCAAACCAGGCTGACATGGCTATGCCCCTCTGTGATGACCCTATTACATTTATGCAGAACCAGCCCACTGTTGTTCCTGTCCAGTTAGTAGCTGGACAGCAGCCCTCTGATGGCTATCAAGATGAAAACCTTGGGGACCATGAAGATAACAGTCAGAGGTAAGAAATGTATGGAATGGTAATAATGGCCAAGATCCCTGCTTTCCCCTCATGGCTGGAGACTATGCTTGAAACCAGGAGTGATTTGTCCACAGGACACCAAAATCCCCCTCATCAAAAGCAGTGTGCTCCCGGGGTACCTGGGTGACTCAGTCGGTTAACTGTCCAACTTCGGCTCAGGTCATGATCTCATGGTCCATGAGCTTGAGCCACACGTCAGGCTCTGTGCTGACAGCTCACAGCTTGGAATCTGCTTCAGATTCTGTATCTCCCCCTCTCTCTGACCTTTCCCTGCTCACACTGTCTCTCTCTCTCTCCTCTCAAAAATAAATAAAACATTAAAAAAATCTTAAAAAGGAGTATGCTCCCACCCATCTTGCTCTATGGCCACTGGCCTCCTGCCTCTGCATGCATAGTGTGTGGTCAAGCATGCATTGATGGAACAGAGAAGTCTCCATGAAAATAGAAGGCTTAGATAAGGAAGCCCCCAAGCTAAGGAATTAGCATGCAAATCTTGAAATCGCTTGACTTCATCCACCCAAGCCTAGACTCATGGCACAGGGTATCTATAGGGAAGTCTTGAGTGCTTATATCGGAATAACTTCTGGTATCACAGTTTTCTTCTCCCACTTCACTAGGATCTGGTGTTCACAACAGATCAGAGGAAGGGGTCTCCATGGATTGACAATTTAGAGAAGTGGATGTGAAACAGTTGCTAGATTGCCAATGGATTCCAAAGAGCTAAGATCACAGAAGGACTAAGCCCTGGGAGGCAGTGTGAGGACATGAACACATTTGCTGTTCAGTGATAAAGTCTGTGATCCCAAATGCCAGAAAGAGAAGGCTCTGCTCAGCAACAAAGGGGTTGTATGTTGCACAAGCTTGGTCCCCAATAAATATTTTTAAATGAATGCCAGTTCTCTGAGTGGGCCTCCCAGAGATCTCCAGATTTCCTTCTGGGCCTTCCTGTAGGATCAGTGACCCTGATATGTGGGGCAGGTGGGTTAGTGCCATGTTTCCCATTGGCCTGGGCATCAGAATCCACTTGAGGAGGTTGTGGAAAGTACAGATTCCCTATTTATCCCAAGAGCCCCAGATATAGCATTGTAGAGAGAGCACTGGACTTGCAATGAGGAACTGGCCTGTGACAAAGGGCAAGGCACTGACTTTGGGTGGGTAAAGTGACTTGCATAAGGCACGTGGCAGAGCCAGGACTGTCCAAGTAATACAAATAAAATAAGACTAATTCATCTCAATCTTTACCTTCACTTTACCGTGGCAAATGGAATCTTATTTGGGCAAAGTGAGAGTATGGAATCCTGATTTAGTCACCGAAACAAAATGTGCTGTAAGCACGTACTGATGAGCAAAGCAATGACTCCTGGGTCATCATTATTCCCTGATCCATGTCACTGTAACATGTTTCTTTCAGTTTTCTTCCTAAGGACCAGCAGGGGTCCCCCATGAATTCGCTGTTACTGGTGTATACTCCAAGCTCTGAGACAGGTTCTTCTACCAGCTGTTCTGAGTCTTCCATAAATTCTGACTCAAACTTAGTCACTTCGGAGACCTCGAAGGATTACATCCAACTTTGGCAACAGCCATCGGACCCACAGTATGATCTTTACTTCCAAGAGAATACTTGTCCTTCCAGTGAGCGGGCCTCCCTCCAGGACCAAGCCACCTGGGCCCAGGTATACCATTCCTTTCTCCTCCCCTCCCCAGCCCAGGTCAGGGGGTTCTGTATGGAGGCTGGGTCTTTTCCCCACAAGGAACACACAACAAGAGTACGCTATCTGTGTGAAATTCAGGCTCAGTAAATTTGAGGGTGGTTACTCATACGGTGGTGACAGGCACTGCTGAGTAAAAAGATTCTCTTCAGGGTTCCATGAAAAAGTGAGCTGTCCACATGGATTTTAAATGCAATCTCACATGGAAACTTCTTAAACATATGCTACCTGGGAAGAGTGAGCCATGCCATATGCTGAGCTCATTGCCAGAGACCAGACCCCTTTCTGAACTTGTGGGTATTTAGTTCTACTACAAAGTCCAGGGCCTAGTGTGAGTGTGTTTCCTTCTACTGAAAATAAGCAAGAGTCCTATGGAATGTGCTTGGTATTCATCCACAGGGTGCTCCATATTTGGCAGGATAGACCCCACTTTGGGGACCATCTGTAATGGTCATGTTTCCAGGGCAGTGTTAGCAGCTGGTCCAGATGTCAGTCACATATTGGATTTTGCTCCCAGATACACTCCCAGCAAGCCCCTTGGGACCATAAATTCTCAATATGACTAAGAGCACTTATAACGGTGTTTTGATTGTGGCTTTAGAAACCTTGATGGAGCCTAACCTCTGATTTTTAAAACTACCAAGAACAAGAAGAAAAAAACATTAAGCTAAGGCAGAATGAGGGAGTTTGGATATTTTAAATCGCTAAAGATGTGATTATCTTCACATACACACCTTGAGCAACTGGATCGTCAGTCCTCAGAAAAGTTGATTCATGAGAGGGACTTCCCACGCAATGAGACCAGATGCTCAGCGGACCCTGTAGTTCAGTTACCAAACCAGACACTGGTTAAACCCTTCATCATGTCTGCTTTTGAGGCACCATCGTCTGGATGGGTCCTTAGAAGCAGAGCTGAGACAAAGTTGGACAGATATCCCAAGGAAGTGGAGAAAGGAGGACCCCTGGAAGGTTGTTGGGAGAATGTAGTGGAACAGCCAAGGGAAGGACCATGTGGGAGTTTCCTTGTCCATAAGACTTCAGGGGCTCCCCACACCCTGCCTTGACTCATTTCCACTGTCCTCTGTGCACTTCCTCTCCCCAAGTCCTCAAGCATATCCGTCTTTCTTTCCATAGCCCAGCCCTGCTCCTTCTAATCTTCTGTATTCTCTTCCACCCCTTGGGTTGTACTTGTTGAAATCTTACATCATCCTCAGTACCCAGCCCCAGGGATCCTTCCTTCTCAAACAGAAAAGACTCCTCCAGCCGACTGTTCGTAATACTACTTTTGTGTCCATCCCTGCTCCCCACTATACAACTTAGAGTGGGTTACTGTTACCTTTCCCATCACATTGTTCAAGTGGGCCAAGTAGCTGCCAATGAGGCTCAGTATGGAAGTTACTTAGTCTGAGCAGACTAATAGCAAGGTCCAAGGGTAGGGGCAGGAAGAGACCTTCCAAGCTGTCAGCTAGCCAAAATTGGCAGAGAAGCTGGGCTAGGGAGGGCCAGACACAGAACTCGGTAGCCTTAGGCATTAATACAACTTTGGGAGAGCCCAGTGCTACTTCTGCTGGTCTTTCAGACAAGATGCTGTTAAAACAAGAAAATGGAGAGGAGCCCTGTTTTCCCCAACTGCACCTTCTACCAGTGCCTTGTAGACTTGTGTTCCAAAGAGATATTTCTCAGCAGCTTGCTGACTTGAACTAAAGGGAGCTACTCACTTTGTCCCCCTTTTTCTTAGCAGGTGCCAGCTACTGAGGTAGGAATCCAGAGGTTTCCAGACTCAGAGGCTTCCCAGGACTCTGATGAATTAACACCAGGCCAAATCAACTATTTCATGTCTGCAGAATAGTCCAGTTTGGATGAACACCAGCAAGACTTTCATATTGAACCTTGAGAGAAGAGGGACAGACAGACCAATTAGGTCTGCATTACCAGGGGAACTCCAAGGCTTACAGAGTCCCCTGGAGTGGGGGTTGGGGAATGGGGAGGGTACTTTCTTTATTTTCTTGACAAGTTCTGTTTGGGATTGTTGAGCACACCCTGTTTCTTGGAAATTGTGTTGCAGTGGCAGCCTATGATCCTTAGTGTGCTAATATGTGACAGCAGCCAGGCCATAGCAGGAGACCACTTTCCCCACCTACTCTGCTTGACCTTGCACACACCTATTCCACCATAGGCAGGCAGGTTGCAGAATCTGCGAGTTAGAATACCTTTTTTTCTGCCAAGAAACATTTTCCAGCATGGTTTGCAATCTAGTAAGAAGCTGGTCTGTCTTAAGCCACAAGCCAAAGCCTTGGCCTTGATGACCAAGCCTTGAATTTCCCCTACGGTCATGTTTGGGAAACCGCAACAGCATTCCAACTGTGGGAAGCTACAGTCAGATTAACACAGGTGCTTTGTAATGAAATAATCACAGTTCCAATGCTTAATAAAAACTGTCTTTTGTTGCAACTCTCTGTGAACTTATGACTGACTTTTGAAACCTAGACATGGTACTGACTTAATTGACTGATACCAGAACCCTGGTAAGAGGCTCATTTTCCAGAGTTGGAAATGTATATCTCTGCTGCCTGCCACATTTGCATAGGCTGATGGCTCCCACCCTCCTGTGTGGCTGTGTTCCCAGGCCCTCTGTGTAGTTGAAGCTGCTGGCTCTTTCATTGATACCAAGGGCATCCACAGGTCCATCAGGCCCAAAACAGTGGGCATAGAGGTTACCCATTCCATGTAGCCCATGCTCTGTTTCACCTCAAGGGTGAGCCTGGATGTTTTGCATACGTCTTCCTTCTCTTGCTTCTCTCTTGCCTGTAATTTTTTTCCAGGGATGACACCTTGGAGGAAAAGTGATTTGTTCTCTCGCCAAACACCAAGGAGTGCATGTTCCTAGCTGTCTGCACAAAAGATGAGGAGATGAGAATGGAGGGGGCACTTGGATAACTTTATCAGAAGTCATCCCGAGCCTTTAATATCCATCTTAAGATAGTGAGTCATTGCTGGAATAAGGCAAAGGAAATCCTCAGTCTTCAGTGACAAGTTAAAGGTGGCACATGAGGCCTCCCACCCATAGGAAACCTAATCTCTACCAGAGTGATATGGACTGAATGCATCCCTCTCAAATTCATATATTAAGCCCCAACACTCCCCCCCCCCAAAGTGATAGTATTTGAAGATGGTGCCCTTGGGAGGTACTTAGGTTCAGAGTGGGACCGCCATAATGAGAGTAATGTCATTGTAAGAAGAGACACAGAGAGTTTGCTCCCTCTCTCTTGTGTGCACAAGAAAGAGGTCATATCAGTACAGAGCAAGATGGTGGCTACCTACAAGTGAAGAGAATAAGTATCAGAATAAAATACTTTTCCTGGGGTGCTTGGGTGACTTTGGTTCAAGTCATGATCTCACAATTTGTGAGTTCGAGCCCCATGTTGGGCTCTGTGCTGACAGCTAGGAGCCTGGAGTCTGCTTTAGATTCTGTGTCTCCTTCTTTCTTTGCCCTCTCCCTCGTTCTCTCAAAAATAAATCAACATTTTAAAAACCCTATCTGTACATTTATCAACATACAGAAATCAGTTGCATTTTTATACATCAATAATGAAGCAACAGAGAGAGAAATCAAGAAACTGATCCCATTCACAACTGCACAAAAAACATAAAATACCTGGGAATAAACCTAACCAAAGGTATAGGAGATCTGTATGATGAAAACTATAGAAAACTTATGATAGAAATTGAAGAAGACACAAAGAAATGGAAAAACATTCCATGCTCATGGGTCGGAAGAATAAATATTGTTAAAATGTCATTACTACCCTAAGCAATCTACACATTCAATGCAACCCAAATCAAAATTGCACCAGCATTCTTCTCAAAACTAGAAAAAACTATCCTAAAATTTGTATGGAACCACAAAAGACCCCGAAAACCCAAAGTAATATTGAAGAATAAAACCAAAATGGGAGGCATCCCCATCCCAGACTTTAGCGTCTACTACAAAGCTGTCATCATCAAGACAGTATGGTATTGGCACAAAAACAGACACATAGACCAATGGAATAGAATAGAGAACTCAGAATTGGACCCATAAATGTACGGCCAACTAATCTTCAACAAAGCGGGAAAGAGTATCCTATGGAAAAAAAAGACAGCCTCTTTAATAGATGGTGCTGGGAGAGCTGGACAGCAACATGCAGAAGAATGAAACTAGATCATTTTCTCACACCATACACTGAAATAAACTCAAAATTGATAAAGGACCTGAATGTGAGACAGGAAACCATCAACACCCTAGAGGAGAAAGCAGGAGACAACCTCCTTGACCTCAACCGCAGCCATTTCTTACTTGACACCTCCCCAAAGGCAAGGGAATCAAGAGCAAAAATGAACTATTGGGACCTCATCAAGATAAAAAGCTTCTGCATGTCAAGGAAGGAAACAATCCATAAAACTAATACACGACTAACGGAATGGGAAAAGATAGTTGCAAATGGCATATCAGATAAAGGATTAGTATCCAAAATCTATGAGGAACTCATCAAAGTCCACAACCAAAAAAGAAACAATCCAGTGAAGAAATGGGCAGAAGACATGAATAGGCACTTCTCCAAAGAGGACATCCAGATGTCCAACAGACACATAACACGATACTCAACGTCCCTAATCATCAGGGAAATACAAATCAAAACCACACTGAAATACCACCTCACGCCCATCAGAGTGGCTAAAATGAAGAAAACAGGAGACTCTAGATGCTGGCGATGATGTGGAGAAATGGGCACCCTCCTACACGGTTGGTGAGAATGTAAACTGGTGTGGCCCCTCTGGAAAACAGTGTGGAGGTTCCTCAAAACATTAACCATAGAACTCCCCTATTACCCAGCACTAGCACTGCTAGGAATTTGCCCAAGGGATCCAGGAAGGCTGATGCATAGGGGCACATGTACCCCAATGTTCATAGCAGCACTCTCAACAATAGCCACAACATGGAAAGAGCCTAAGTGTCCATCAACGGAAGAATGGATCAAGAAGATGTGGTTTATCTATACCATGGAATACTACATGGCAATGAGAAAGAATGAAATCTGGCCATGTGTAGCAACATGGATGGATCTTGAGGTTGTTATGCTGAGTGAAATAAGTCAGGCAGAGAAGGACAAATACCATATGTTTGCACGTATAGGTGGATTAGGAGGAACTTAACGGAGGACCATGAGGGAGAAGAAGGGGAAAAATATTTGGGGAGAGGGAGGGAGGCAAACCATGAGAGACTCTTGAATGCTGAGAACAAACTGAGGGCTGATGGGGGTGGGGGAGAGGGGAAGGTGGGTGATGGGTATGGGGGAGGGCACTTGTGGGGATGAGCACTGGGTGTTATATGGAAACCAACTTGACAACAAACCATTTAAGAAAAAAAAAACCCTATCTTGCTGGAACCTTAATTTTGTACTTTAAGCCTTCAGAATGGGGAAAAACAAAGATCTGTTGTTGAAGCCCCCCATCTGTGGTATTTTGTTATGGCAGCCTGAGCTAACCAAGACATGGGGGCTGTTTGCTTCTTGGCATGTCATTTTGTAGCCATTGGGAAGGAGCAGCTGAAGGCTCACTCACTTGTCAGTAACTCTTTGGTCCATTCTGTTTAGTAAATGCAGAACATTTCCAAGAACCAGTTCTCTTGGGCTGCCCGGCAAAGACAGAAACAGAGCTCAGGGACATTCTTGATACCCTGTTTGACATTGGATAGTTGGTAGTTGTTGGTAGTACTCTGTTGTCTCCTGCATTGGCATCTGCCTCCTTGGTCAGGGAGCCACCTTCCCCATCGTGCCACACAATACAGGAGGGACTGTACATGTACAAACCAGGCCATGCTTGTTAGAGTGAGGAGAGGTTGCAAGGGAGCAAGAGGCACTGCTCTGCCTGTGTGCAGAGTGGCCCAGGCTCAGAGGTCAAGTGCTGCCCGGTAGACCACATGTGGATAGGGGTTGGCATTTGGCTTCTCTGCAGCCTCCTTCAAGGTACTCAGTCAGCTGGTAGCATTCTAACCATGGGGGAAGCTTGGTGCCTACTGTGAAGTAGCGTTAGTTCGATAGCTGGACCTGCAGTTTCCAACAGGAAGAAAGTTTGATTCTGCCCCATTTCTCCCATTTCTCCTTTTAAATGGTCAGGCAGGCCCTAAATGGTGCACTTCCATGAGATGCAGCTAAGGCCCTGTTCTGCTTGGGACAAGTGACTTAAAATCTCTGTGCCTCAGTTTCTCCATCTGAAAAAAAGGAGAGAGGAGGAGATGATGTGTTTCCTTTCTAGTTCTCAGAGCAGATAAGGGTAAATAGAATTACAGAGCTGGAAGGGGGTTTGGGAAAGGCACTGTAAAAAGTGGAGGAGGCTGGAGGCATTTGTTTGGGGTTATTGTTTGAATTCAGTGTTTAGAGAATGCCTAGGCCAGGATTTGTCTGATCCAGCCCAATTTATTCAGGCCTCACTACCCCCCTGGGATTTCAGATAAAAACCCTGAACAGGGAAGGTCTGTGGTCATCTCAAGTTGTGCCTCAATCAACTGCTTAGCTCCTGGTTCAGCCCCAGGACCAGGATACCAGAGGGTCAGAGGGGCAGGCTGCATGAGTCCACTCTTTCCTGGAGATCCCTGCAGGAACAACTGCAGTGACATGACATTTTAGGGTGCTACAGGGGCCAAAATCCAGGAACCAGTGCTCACATGCAGGATCATCCAGTTGTGATTTTGTTCTGTGTATTACTGAAGTCAAACCATGATGAGTGAGTTCTCTGCAGCCTCTCCAGCAGTTTCAGGCCCAGTGCATGCTCCAAGGCATTCCTGCTTCTCCTTAACTTGGCTTTAACTAGAGTTGGCTGATACTTATCTTTTGGCTTAGTTTCCCAGGCATGAGAACTAATTTCCCCAGCTCCAGATGGTCTCCTGATGATTGTAGCTGGGGAGAAAGCTGTCTGCTCCCAAGCTTTGGAGGGGGCAGGGCTGACCAGGGCAGAAGAGGGCAGGACAGCACAAAGGAAAAGAGTGACTGGTATTCCTTTAACAGCAATGGAATCAGAAATAGGTGAGTCTTACATGCCCTCTGTGTCATGAACTGAGAGGTGGGGACTGTATTAGCCTTGCCAAGGGCAAGACAGAAGTTTAGCTAAGGCTTGGGTCAAGAAGAGTGGTCATAGCACAAGCTTCTAAGGCTATGGCTCAAAGTGGAAATAGCTATGGTCATCCTCATGGTCTGTGCTAACCCAAACTGCTCCAGGAGGCTCTGGGGACTTTGCAGCCCACAGCACAAAGTTTCACCAGAGAAATCTTCCAATGAATGCCACGCCTGGAACCGCTTCATCACCGTCCCTTCTGGCCCCACATACTGTACACAACAGTGTATGATGTACATGAGCCACCTTGTCTTCTC